ATCTAATATATATCCTAAGTCGCGCTTTCGAGACATGAAAAACGCAGTTTGAATTTTGTCAATCGCCCCAGTAGAACGGGAGATATAGCACTGTCCCATTTTTTTTTTTTTTGAGCAGTGTACATCCGCTGAACTTGTCTACGGCACCCCCTAGATTACCATCTGAGTTCTTTCAGCATCCTCTGCTCGTCGATCCAGCATCCTTTGTCCGCTTCCGAGGCCGAAGAACTTCCGATCCTCGTGCCACACAATCTGCCCCTTTCGTGCCCAGCATGCTCACGGTTTTGCGAAACAATGCGGTCAAACCACCACTCACTCCTCCATATGATGGACCCTTCAAGGTCTGTGCACGTAACAATAAGCATTTCACCGTTCTCGTGCGCGACAAGGAAACCGTTCTGAGCATAGATCGTCTGAAGCCTGCTTTCTGCGAAGCTTCAAACACTCAGGTTCCTGTGACCAGCGATCCTCCCGACTCCCCGGATATTCCTCCTTCGACCGACCTTACGCTTCCTCCCAGTGCTCCACCAGTCGTCACACGACCGATACGACGTGTGCACTTCAACACCAGATATTTGTGAACTGATTTTTTCATCGTACCTTTGGTACTCGGGGGGGGGGGGGGTTGGATACTGTGGAGAACTCTTTATTATTATTATTTGTCCGCTGCCCCAAGAGAGGGCGCTACCAGCTTTCTCCCTCTTCCTCTCTGGAGGAAAATTCGAACTGGTTACTCGGTTCCTGGCTGCCGTCGGTGAAGCATGCACTCACCTTTCTTTCCCTCCGTGATGTTATCGTAGCTGTAATATGACTTTCTTGATTTTTACTCATGCGGACTTGCGAACTGTTGGTGTGGTGTATTTAATTATGGCAAAGCACACGAGGGCTATCTGCCTAAAGGGAGGGATGCCTTTCGTGGAGGACTTTCTAAGGAAAACTGGCTCGTATACATGTTACACATGGGGAAAACCACGAAAATGCCCATGCAGCCAGCCCGTTCGCGGGATTCGAACCTCAGGCCGAAATACCAATGTTCAGCGTCTTTACCACTCGGCCGCTGGTGGGCTGCGAACTGAAAAATGCTCATCTTGTAACTACATTCAATGTGATTGTGTATAAGTGAATATATGTTAAAATATATATCATCCTAGAATTAAATATAAATGTTAATATTACCGGTCAGATTTTGTTAACATTCAACGTGCAATCAAAAATGGCATCCATTAACAACAGCCATATATACATAAGTAATCCCACAAACAGCAATTTGCGTATTTTGGTTCTTATAGCAGAGATCAGCAGCAGCTTTATGTGAGAACAAAAATCTTTCTATTGCTTATACAAATAAAATAATTCACTACTTCTCTTCTATAGCAGCAATTCTTCATAAAAAATCAAAAGCATGTAACTATTTTAAAAACTATCAAAGGTAATGTTTCTAATTGTAGCAAGAAGTACAGGACTTTTAGGTATCTATATTATTAAACTTTTATTTCAATATAAATGCACAAGGAATTATTATCATTATTTGTTAAATTATAATTTTTTAGTGACCAGGCATTACTGTAGGATATAATAGCTCCTAATTAATTTTATATTAACATGAATAAGCCTTATTTTTGGCTCAAATAAAATAAATTATGATTTAATTTTTATGCCAAAGTATTAAAACAAATTAAATCATATAGAAGAAACACACAATATACATTTCACTCTGTAAACCTGTATAATAAACATTAAAAAAAAACTTATTAATTCATTCAAATATTCTCATAATCAGACTTTCAGAAAAATCTTCTTCAATTGCACTACAGGCTATTATTACAGGCCAAAGCCATCTCGATAAGCTTCCAACAACGGATATGATTAGTCACTGCAGTCCACCAATGATTTGAAGTCTTGAGATCTGCCTCCACACAGTTTATCGATCTTTTATGAGGTCTTTTCAAGGTACCTTCTAAACTTATAAAAGTCACCTTTTTAACAGGGTTCACGTTGTCATATCCAAACAACCTAATACGATAAGATTTGAGAATTTGGACAATATTAGGTTTTTTGTATCTTTCATATATTTCATGGTTAAATAAAATTCTCTATCTATTAGTTTCTCTAACTGCGCAATATATTTTTTGCAGTATTTTTCTTTCAAAGATCAGAAGTCTTTCTTCATCTGTGTTTGTTAATATCCAGCATTCATTACCATACAATGCGATAGGCCTAACAAGAACTGGATAAAGATTTATTTTTGTCTTTAAGTTTAATAGACACTAACAAATTCTTGACACCATGATAACAACTGTTTTAGCTCTAAATAATCTATTGCTAATCTCAAGTTTAATATTGTTATCATTAGAAATGATAGTACCGAAATATGTTGTAGGGTTTATATTTATTTTAACTAACATTTATTTTAAGTTTAAATTATCTTTCCTGTCAAGCCTTACTTTTCCCTGGAACTGCCAATGCCAGAGTATGTAAATTTTAGTAGAACGCGCAAGGATTCAAATTATCAGCGGAAGTATTCTGAGTTAAATAGAATGGAAAACGAGTTCGAGGTGTGCTGTTCTTACTTCACGAGCGCGGAGGTAGTTAGCCAGAAATTGAAGAACCCCGCGTTTCGGCCTGTGTGCTTGCCTCGGAGAATTGTTAATCGTTCAACGTGATGTTCAAAGTTTGCTGAATTAGGAGCGGTATTGTAAAATGCGGTGAGGTTAGTTACGTTTAGAGAGCCTCGTAGTTAGAGTCTTGTTATTATTTCTTTTCAGGTTCTTATTTTTATTTTACCGCCGGGTCGGCGTAGTTTGTAAGCGTCAAGAGCACGCAATTGTAATTTCTCAAATTGAATAAAAAGGGACTTAAACCCTTAGCAAGACTGTCTATTTTCCAGTTTCAACAGTCACCTCTTGGTTGCATGCAGGTTGGAGGCACGCAACTCTACAATGTAAACTGAAAAATGCTCTCGAAAGTATAAGAATTTATTTGCAGTGGGAAGAAATTATGTACTCTATTAGTTACTGCCATAAGTTTTGTTTTATACTTATTAATGGTTAGTCTAATGTCTCTGGCTGCAGACTCAAGAGAAATAAAAGTCTTCACGACCACTTGTTTACTTCTGCCAATAATGTCAATGTCATCAGCATACACTAGCAACTGTATAGATCTTTAAAATATGGTGCCTTTAGTTATAATTCTAGCATCTCTAATAGCCTTTTAGCCTTTTCAAGGGTGATATTAAAAAACATGCATCACCTTGTCTCAACTGCTTTCAGTTCAGAACAATCAACCATTTTAATTTTCAACAAGAGCAATTTGTTTATTTTAAGAGAAATGCTGTAAATATACCTTTCAAATTTTTGTTATGAAAACAGATTCTAAATAGTTTTTAAAGTTAAAAATTATCGAAAGCTATATAATGGCATTAAAAGTTTTTTAATCTTATTACTTTTTGCTTTTGCAAATTAATTTTATGTATATCAATAGAGCAGTTATCAACTAAAACATATAATGCAGATATAAACAGTTAAAAAATTCCCCATTCAACTGAAAACTAAATTGGGAATTATAGCCCACTAGTGGGTGAATGATAAAAATCACTGGACGTTGGTAGTACATCCTGAGTTCAAATCCTGGCAAATGGGTAGATTGCATGGCAGTTTTTCAGATTTTCTCCACATTATGTGAATACAAGCCATTTTCTCTTAAATGTTGTCTATGAAGATATCCATCTCTTTACACAGATAGCCCTTACATAGTTTGCTGTAATACCCAAAGTAATTATTAATATACTAATAACTAGTCTGCCAATATAAGATAAGCAGTTATAAGTAAGAAGCTAACTTCTCGTTGCATAAATCCTCATTTAAAGAAAACAATGCAGAAATAAAGGTAAAATTACTGACATTTGCTTCTTTAAACTGTTTAAGATTCCTGTAAAGAAATCCTGTAGAAATAAGACAAAAGGGAACATTTTGATTCAGAATATGTTCTATGTTAAACCCTTCCCTAAAGTTCAAATTAAAAATTTTAAAAAATACAAAGAGAAAATTATACAGTAACATAAAATCATATGTATGGAATTAATACCTTCAAAGCAAACAGAACTAAATATGAAAAAAATTACACAGGCTGAAGAATAAAAAACAAACAACTTTAAAAAAAAAATCAACATAAAACTGATATTTTTTAGCATAAAAAGTTTAAACTTTTTGCAATGATTTAGAAAAAGGAAAATTCTAAGTGCAAGCTTTTACCAGATGTATTGGAAAATAATGATTTTGCAGGCCATACTGAAAACTAGGATCAGAGTAAGCATATATTAAACTTACGAGAAAATATATAAATGAAACTTTTATTTTCCCTGAAAATCTTAACAGGTCAATAATACCAAAATAATAATATTGCATTAAAATTGTTTTATCTATTTCAGATGGCACTTTCCAATTTGAATATTCATTCTTATTTTCCTATGAATTTAACCCACACAATATTTCTCTTAATTTCAACATGTTTTATTGAAATTACGAAGAATACATTGCATTTACAGAATAATGCAAAAAGATTTTGGTACTATGCCTATGATTTCTTAGCATAGTTATGGAAATAATTATGATATTTTTTGTATTGGCCTTCGTATAGAATTCATCACATATGCCTTAAACACATTAACAGCTATCCTTTTCTCCTCATATAAACATGTCAGCAATATTTTTCTTTTTAAAAAATTCTAAGAAAGATAAGTTTTTCATTAAAAAAAAAAAAAAAAAAAACATGAAAATGTTTCTTAAAACAGCAAAAAGTATTAACATTGAAATGAATTTCCTTCTTCAACTCAAGACATCAAAAAACACACAAAATTGTGAAACCTGCTTATGTGTGCCCCATTTCCTCTAATGTTTCACCAGAAGGAGGTTATCCAATAATTTCCTACACGAACATAAAGTTTTTGCAACAAGAATATAAAGCAATATGAAACAGCTGTTATAAAGATACATACACATAAGTTTCAAGGAACTTACCAATATTAATTTTATTTTATATTGAAAAGACATAATTATATAAGCATTTTGATTTCTGAGTTTAACTTTTTGTTGCAATCGACTGCTTTATTTTTATGTGAATAGCGGAATTCTTCCGATATTGAAAACGATGTCCTTCTTCTGATATCATATCATCCACCAAATCAACAGTCGAGGTTGAAGCCTCTAATGTGAGGTTACTTTTCGAAAAAGATGATTTCAACTGGAGAGCAAGATTCACTGCTGTATTTACAGCAGCACCAAGTCCATGAATGAATATTTCCTTTTCCCCATTAGCAAGCATTGATTTACACTTATTAAACTGAGCTATGAAATTAGACTTTTGATTTATGTATACATCATTTTTACGTCTTGGGAAGGTAGCTGGTAGTCTTTTCTCAAAGCGCTCCTCATTACTAAAATTCAGTTTACTAACTTGATTTTCTTCATGAGTAGAAGTGCCACTGTTTTGTTGAGACTTTTTTCGGTACTCCATAATATACTATAGTTCATATAGTGTTTCAAGCTTCGAAATCTAACATTTTTAACCCCGTGTTTTAACCGCACACTCTAAACAACGAGCAATTCTTTGCTCTAATAACAACTTTCTGCCTTGCAGGCTGCGATGGAGGATTTTTACCTTTGGTATACAAAAAGGAAATTGTTTTAAAACTTATTCTCAACATTTTTCTCTCTTTCTTCCGAGAGATACTACTCAGCGACCTAATAGTCTTAATAGAATTAATAGTTAGTAATGATATAAAGTGTTTAAAGATAGAAATCTGTGAATAATTAAACCTTAGATCTTGAAATGGTGTTCAGGTTTTCACCCATAAAAATTTTAAAATAAAATAACAAATTACGGATAACTTACATTTCTAGATTTGGCAACATGTTGAATAGGTAGCAATTTTGCACAGATTAGATACAGGAAATGTATACGGCAACCGTCTTATACAGCCAAATTTGGCGTTGTTTGGTCATTGGTGCTCCTTCTCGATTCTAATCATGAAATTTTTCACTCATTTACTTGCTTTATGAAATATTTGCTAATATTCAGTAGCGTAGCTAGGGTGGGGCAAGGGGGGATATCTGTCCTCGGGCGCAGCATCCAAGGGGCGCCAGATTGATGATACACCTTTCAGAATGAAATGTTTTCCATTCTTGGAACACAGAAAGGGGCGCAAAATCTTTAGATGTCCCCGGGCGCTTAAAACCTTAGCTACGTCTCTGCTAATATTCAATAAATATTTATTCAAATTTTAATTGTTTCTGCGTTGTAGTCGTTTGATTCATATATTTATTTGAGTGATATGCAGAATCGCCCAGATTTTAGATGCATATGTCTTAAATACACTCTAATTAAAACATTTCTTTTTTTAGTTGTTTCAGTAAATAAATGCTTAGTAAAATTTGGGAGAACACGAAATCAGAAAAACGGAAACCAAAGAATTGTGTACCAAAGAATATATACGTACATAATCTTGTGAACGCATATTCTTTGTGTGTATCCTGAGCCAAATGAGCGATAAATTGCTGAGCATGGCAACCACTCCACATGAGTTATTCCTTTGCCTTTCCACATGTGTTTGTTTATTTACCTTTCATTACATACAGCATTTTGATATTTTATGAATTTCTGTGTTTTCATTATTAATCGATATTTACGAACAAAAGACATATCAAAATTAAACTGTTTTCTTGTAAATATCTTGGGCTTTTCCCTTTCTTTCCTATTTTATTTTATTTATAAATAATTTGAATTATTTTGTTTGCATAAAAAAGTAATTTTGAAGGTACATAGGTGAATTAGGAATTATTTTACAGAATACAGAACTGCAGTCCAATGGATAAAAAGAAAATATCGAATGAGAAACGTTTGCAGGCAGTAAAAGCATGGAAAAAAAATCAAAGGAATGTTGGCGGCTGTTGTGGAAAACGTACGGTACGTTGACATTTTAAAAATATTGAATAATTCTAGATTGATGTTAGCAATCACTCTAAATTTCAAATAATAAATTTTTGCACTGCTGGTTGTGGAATTTTACCAGAAGGTTTAGTATAGGTTTCTTTTATTAGGTCTGACTTAACCAGGATTCCGTTGGCAAACCTCCTCAGATGAAAGCACACAGCATTCGTTATCTTTGCCATGATAAATAATCTGTATTCCTTCACAGTTCCTTCAGTAGCTAAAATTTAATTTCGGCGCGGCGGGGGCTGTGACTTATATATAAAACGGATGTTTTTCTAATTGAAACTTCAATTTCGGGAAGGGCTGCACCCCTTTCAATTTCTCCCTAAATACGGCTATGCGTCACGGGTACCGCATAAATGAAAATTTTGTATCAATAATGTTTGCTTGATTTGTTTCTAATCAGAGTACTTACCTTGTTTTCAATTGGAAGAATAATCTTGGTTTATGTTAATATGCTGAATCAAAATGTGTTGTAATAATAACTAATGTAAATTCATATTACCAAATTGCAACATCATGCTGTGTAGAGTTAAATTCAGTTTTTTGTATTGAAATGATATTGATGCTTTTAAGTTCTCAACAGGCTAAGTTTTGATATGCAGTTGTTTTTCAGGCCTGTAAATTAAGCAGTTTTATGGTTAACATTAGTTTTTTTACAGTTTTTGGTTGGTATATACCTTAATTGTGCTTCTCATGCAATTAAGTATTTGGATTGTAGGCAAGAATTTTAATCTTAAGCTAGCCATACATTAATTTAACAGTTTTTTTAATATATGTATTGTAATATACTGTAGTAATTTGATGACATAGTTGTTATGGACTTGATGCCAAATGTTTACACGTGGGAGCATTCCAGTTACACATTTATTTAAAAAAATATTAAAATATTTTATAGATGCATATGTAAAAGATTCATTTCTAGATGTAAAAATATATTTATGGGTGCCCCTTGGCAATAATTGGTGGTACATGGACACCGAGTTTGTGCAATTCTTTGATGTGTTATTTTGGCTTTGTGTAACGGAGATTTTTGCACCAAAATTCGCTGCTACACAAAGCTAAAACAACAAGACAAAGAATTTCACAAACTCTGGATCCATGTACACATCGACCTATTTTTACTTAAAAAAAAAAAAAAAAATCAGAGAATTGCACAAACTTGGCATTGCACACTCCCTTTATCTATGTACACATCGACCTATTTGCACTTAGAAAATCACCAGCAAATTGTGCAAACTAGGCATTGCGCACTCCCTTGACTTTGAACACATCGAACTATATTCACTTAAAAAGTCAAAGGAGCAGCCAACAAAAAATATATAATCTCAATAAACTATGTTTTAAATTAATGAAATTCATCTTTGCACTATACAAAGGAAATATCCACTTACCTTATTTACAAATTAACATGTCGTCAGTCAAACAAAATTCCTTAACAGCATCCAAAAACTTCCTAAAATTATCTGAACTAGAATCTGTATACTGGCATCCCTACATAAATTCACAAAATAAGAGTAAAAAATATCTTCCATAATGCAGTTATCGTCCAACGTTCGACCATACACATTTCCTTCCTACAAACAGGACACTTAATAATGGCTACTAAGTAAAGCTTCATTTACACACCAGTCAGGTAACGCACTTTTCCCCTTTCTTTCCAAATTGTACAGAAACTTCAAATTAATCTTACCACATTCAAATATTTTATTACCTAAACTACAATACGAGCAATAAACTTTGTAACCAACACGCACCGTAAGCCCTTATGAATTTACTGCAGTCATGCAACTTATTACATCATAATAATCTTTTCATAACATTTAACTACTCAGGTTACCACAAATGAAACAACAACTTGGCAATAAATGAAACAACAACTTCGTGGTAATACAAGGGGTACCCTTCTTTCTACTCTAACCAAATTAATTAATGAAAATGGTGCTTTCTGACTATTTGCACTCTTAGTTTCACCATATAAAGAACTTTCACGTTTTGGTGTATTTCTGAGTATGCTAGATCACTACTCAAATCGTACATATGTGTACCATGCTTGTATATACAAATATGTGGATATATTCACTTTAACTATATTTTACTAGGTAAAAGTATATTTATGGGAACCCCTTGGCAAAAATTGGCGATTTTTTTGTAGTAAATGGATACCAAGTTGGTGCAATTCTTTGACTTGTTATTTTGGCTTTGTGTAGCGTCGATTTTAGCCAAAATAACAAGTCAAAGAATTGCACAAATTCCGTATCCATGTACACACTGACCTATTTTCACTCAAAAAAAATCACGGAATTTCACAAACTAGGCATTGTGCACTCCCTTTATCCATGTACACTTCGACCTAATTTCACTTAACTTGGCACTGCCCACTCCCTTGACTTTGTCCATGTATACATATATCATAAGGAAGCTAGGTACTTTATGATTACCTGCATTGCCTGATCTTTGCATGAAATTCATATTGAAACAGCATTATAACAAAAGTGTTGCATTTGTTACTTTTCTACTTCAAAAAAGAAATTTTACAGATTTAATAATACAATAAAGTGTATTTTTTTTCCAATTGAGAAGTCTTTGAAACACTTTTAGGTTATTTGGCTGCAGGGGTGTAGCTAGAGGGGGGCCATCTGCCCCCGGGTGCAGAATCCAAGGGGCGCCAAACTGATGTTACAACATTTTAGAATTAAGTGTTTTCCATCCTTGGCAAGCAGTTTGGGGCACGAAATCTTCATTTGTCCCCGGGTGCTGAAAACCCTAGCTACTACTCTTTTTGGCTGATGTGAGCAAAACAGAATATGTAAATATGATGTATTCTTCTATTTGTGCCATTAAAACCTTGAGAACTAGTACATTTTCTTTCAAATTTAATCTTAATCCTGACATGGTATATTGTATAAGCAAAGAAATTGTTTTATTTATGTTATACAGAACAACAACAGCTATCCTTATATAGTATTAATGAAATACTCTTTGTCTAAATGTATCTTATAATACTCATTTAATAATTTTGCTATATGTCTTACTTTTGTGCTGAATTGTATCTGCTTGATGAATAATTTGATTTTCTCGCATGGTAAATCAAAATATTCATCAAGAAAATATACTATATAAAAGAGCATATTTTATCATATTTTCACTTTTCAAAATCATAAGGAAGCTAGGTACTTTATGATTACCTGCATTCCTGCCCTCAAAAAAAGATTAATGAGACAATACAGTGTGTTGCCAAATTTAGCAACCCACGAAGTTGCCAAAATATATTTATATATCTATGGGCAGGCAGCAGACAAGTGCCACTCATTAGTCTTTATTTTTGTTGCAAACATACTCATTAGTGTTTGTTTTTGTTGCAAAATATTTTGATTTGCCAAACTTTAGACATTGCAAACAAATTACAATTACTTCACAAATGATGAAATTTTATGGATCAAAATTTGTGCTCTGATGCCGCTATTTGTGGAATTCTCTGATGCTCTCTTAAGCAAAAAGAGTTCACTGTATGCACAGGAAAACAACAGTGTGTGTGATGCTAAAATTGTTCAATTCTCTGGTTGTTTTCTGAGCCAAAACGAACCGTAGTGTACATGGGGAGGAACACTGTGTGTGAAATTCTAACTTGTTCACAATACTAAGTTTCTACAATTTTCTGGTGTTTGTTTAAGATAAAACAGATCACTATGTACATAAGAACAACAATGCCAAAAAAGAGGTGTAAGTCTTTAATTAAAGATGCTTCTTATGATTTTAACTTTGCTAATTAGTTGCTGTTTTATGTAATTTTTAATGCATCACCATTTTTGAAAATAACTTTTATCTTTTACTTCTTAGCTTGGTGACTTTTCGAGAGAGTAGTAGTGTTGATAATCAGGAAATACCGAAAGCTTTCTTATTTATTTTCTGGCTATGCATATTTGTAGATAACTCAATATCATCAAATAAGTAATGTCTCAAATAAATAAATACAGTCAAACGTCTTTAATCCGGACCTCAAAGCTACAAACTTTGCATGCGCATATGCATTCACACATGTGCAAAATACCTTTACACATGCGCATATGTGTTTACGCATGCACATGCGTGTTTACTGTATAACGGACAGTATAAGCTAAGCTAAAATTATCTAATTATCTATTTCAGTTAATGTTGCAGATTGCATTGTTCCTTAATCTTGGAATTGGATCCGGCTTATTATTTTTTGCAGACTGTTAGAGTAATTTTTATAAAAGTAAGCTTGAACTTTCGATTATGTCAAAAAGAATTTCCGATTCTGGAGCTGTGAAAAGGATCTACAAACCAAAGGCATGTTTTGATGTCCATCAAACAAAAAGTGGAATTGCTGCAAAAAATGGATAAAGGCATATCCTTTGTTTCTCTAACCATTCCGAAATCTGTTTATCAATTTCACGCTGCTCTGCGGAGGGGGACTGGAATGTTGCGGCACGCAATGAACTGGAAGTTGATCTGTCAGCACTATCCTTATCTTCGGGGCAGATATTTTAATTTTATTTGGCTGATAATTCCTTACTAAATGTAGGTATTTCATATTGATGTACTTCGTTTTTGATATGATTTAAATCAAGTTCCTCATCATTATAAATATCACGAAAACACATCAAATAGTTTTCTGGTTGCAATTTTCTAATCTCGACTATGCGTAATGTATGCTTTACGCATGCGCACGTTGAAAGAAATGTTTAATAAAGTAACCAAATAAAAAATAAGCTGCTTTTTTTTTTTTTTTTTTTTTTTTTTTTTGTAAATTTTGATACCCTTTAGATCATAATTGCTCTTTATTTCATAAATTATGGTTTCATATTTTTAATTTTATAATTTCTGCATGCCATTTTGCCAGATTTAAACTGATGATCGCTGAAGTCCGAGTCCAGATTAAAGACTTTTGACTGTAAATACAGTTTAAAAGTGCCTTTTTTTTTTACCTACCAGTAACTTTAAAAGTAAAC